ATACGTACGTACATACAAACATACGTACGTACGTACATACAAACATACGTACGTACATACATACAAACATACGTACACACATACATGCATACATACGTACATATATATATATAATATATATACATATATATATATATGTGTATGTATGTATATATATATATATGTCACAAATACTTCTAGCATAGATGAGACGGATTGATCAAAGCAGATGCGCAAATGTGCCATGCAGTCATATATACACACGGGAGAGCCATGCTTCTTATGAGGCAGATCTGTGTGAGCGAGTTAAGTTTACAGCGTACCTCTTGCTTTGTGCCGTTCTCGTGATAAGGATTCAAGTTAAACGGGCTCATGTTGATGGGCGATATGCCACTCCATAAGGGTGGAGGAATCGCAATCACTGAGGTGACCACGGACCTGCCAGATAATAAAATCGAAATGAATATTCCGGATGCACAGTCTGAACAACCAGAAATAAAGTGGAAGATGAGCCGCTCAATATCTCAATATCTTTGATTGTATACCAGTCCCAAGTATATTCACTAAATGAAGTAGACTTCATATTATTGATCGATGATGTGTGTGATGGGATAGTTCAATGAATACGAAATGCCCGCAGGTACGAATGCCCACAGTTACGACTTGGTATCACACACCTGAATGTATTCACATATACAGCTCTGTCTCTAGGGCTTAAATCTCTCAGTAATTCCGGTTCATTGAGCACTCTCTTGTAGAATATGTTGTTGATGATACTGGAGGTGGCGGCGTTCGTGATGAGAAATTGTACTTTTTCCAGTTCATCGGGTGCTACGTGCTCCAAGAACTCCACGGTGACCTCCATATCACTTATGAACTCCTCGAGCTGTTGCATATCATTGATGCATGACGGAGCAGGGCAATCAAATATAAGTGCCTTGACTTCAGGTGCTATGTACCGAATTAATATCATGTTGCTGTCTTGAATCGCGAGCGATAATATATGTCGAACCATATGTAACTGAATAGATAGCTGTATCCAACCCCAGCACCTACCTCGTCATCATCGACTCTCAGCATCTCCGGTGGCGGGAATTGTGTCATATTAACCCAAGACGTCACAACCGCTGTATTTGAAATGTGTACAGATCGCCAAAAACAAAATATACATTAGTGAGCGCAAAGGCAATACCTCTGAGAACCCCGGGTTGCTACCGCATAGAAAATCTCGGAAGCTGATATGTGACAGTTCTCTGCGATTGCCCCACCTACCGGATGAGAAAATACCAATGTGCGTGCGTGCGTGCGTGCTTCCGTACGTTCCTTCGTGTGTGGGACAAACACTCGCGTCTCATTTGCAGGATGCTGCCGATTGTATACGAATTAAGACTTACGTCCTTCTCGGATATCGATGACTGGGCATTGGCGAATATCCTTCGTACCTCCCGAAAGGATATCGACCATGACATTAGGTAAGATTGTCAAACCACCTCCGTTCCCTACCAAAAAAAAAGGGTCCCAGAATTAGCTTTTAATCTAGTAGAATTGTCCTATCTAAAGATTCATCGAAGCTTTGGTGGGGATGCTTCGTCTCAAAATGAGTGACAATTGCTTACCGCTGATATCTATGACCAAACGCTCATTCCCATTTCGGATGGTGGCGAAAGTGTCGATCAAGATATCCAGGAGATCCAGCGTGTCGACTATGAATTGCTCCGGATCGTTGCCTGCAACCAAATAAGAACACTCCTTATTAGACTACGAATGACCCGACTCAGCTAAGTCGAGAATTAAAGCAGGAACAGCTCATAGCGTCGCTGAACGACAACGCGGACGTGGTGAACATGTGGCGAACATAGTTTCTCAAATCAGGAAATAAACACTCAAATCAGACACCGCTTACCTGAGAAGAAAGACGGATACCGCATCACAGGAACTCCGCTGTAGTTGTAGATTGCACCAGCATCGTTGAGGAAAATGAGATGCTGAGAGGGTGTGTTAGGCTCGGGCTCGGGGATGTCTGGTTTGGGCAGAGTGAAAAATGGGAGTAGAGGTTTGAGAGTGAAAGGTCTTCTTCCACTGTCTGTATCGCTCTCACTTACTCCGTCGGTACCGCTTTCGCCTTCGGTTTCGACTGCCACATCCGTCTCACTGGCGGCTTCGCTTAAATCTTCGCTGCCGTCAGTCTCAGCATCTTCCCCTCCCGCCGTTTCTGAAGGCGCTGCCTCGCTTCCATTATCACTCTCCATTTCGCTGGGATCGACAGATTCGTCATCGGGTCGATTAAGTGGGCCTTGCCTGCGGTTTCGCCACAACTTCTTTTGGATCTCCTGAATATCGAGATCTGTTGGTTTGCGCGCAAGAAATAGTGATGTAATCTTGATGAGTAATACGCTTGAGAGGACCAACAACTTTGAATCACTTTAAACCTTGATCACGGTGGATCACTTCCAGCACATCAAGATACTGAAAGTGCTGACAGTTGAAGGCAAAAATTAGCTCTGCACATGCACAATAATTTGAATTACACTCCATAGCACTACTTATTCGCTGAATAAAACCATTGAACGTATTGAGACTCGATTTGACCAAGGACCGACATGATTCATATTGGTGTGTACCCATGTATTGCAGCAAGCACTGAATTAAATACTTACCATGAATCGTTGGGTTGGATCTTCGTCGCTTCGCTTTCTGCTCAGCATATGCTGCCATCATGTCACGTGCGCGTCTGCGTCTCGTGTTAGCTTCCTCAGAGTTATCGTTGAAAGGAAGTGGGTTCGTCTCCAATGGATTGGGATTCAGTGGTGACCCGGGTGCATTGTCGGGAACGGTTATATTGACTCGCCCATCGCTAGACTCGGTGGTATTCAGTGGTTCACCCTCATAGTAAGCCACAACAGCTTTATTAAAATCAGCTGCAAAAGCACAGGTATACCATCAGGTGTGTAAGCATATGCGTACTATGGTTAAGCAGATGAGCGCGATTCGTGCATGGGCACCCGAGCATACGCGTAACTACTCGCTGTAGCCTGAACTACAAATGCAAGTCCAGACACAAAATTAAACATTGTCACATGCTGCACATTGAATCAACAAAAGGTCCCACACCCATAACCCGGTGCATCACATATTCAAAATGACCCGACATACTTCTGGGAGATGTTCCGGTCAGAAGAATGTCGTCGACACCTCTCGTCTTCGTTAATGCCAAAGTGAGCGGCTTGACAACCGCTGTCGCACCGCTGGCAAATTCCACATTCAAAGTTGTATCGTTGTAGTTCTGGCGGAAGCCGGGAGTGAACAAAGTATTCCTGCCCAGCCCAGACACAAGCAGCGAATTGAACCGACCACCTATAGACAGAGACAATTTCGTTGTGCACAAGATGAGTAAACCGTTTTTAGTTAGGATTAGCTAAAACTGGTCGTGCATCGGGCTGTGGTGCGTATCGACAGGGTGTGATTTAGCGTCTTAAAGGAATGATAAGTTCCTGCTGCGTATGCCTTGTGGCAGTTTTGAATTGCAAATACAAACCCTTTGAGTTGAATCGCTACAGTATTCCTTAAACATACAATTGTCGCATTATTCATCGCTAGAGACACACCCATTCAACCTACTCACCGACATAGTATTACATTCAATATCTGTCACTGCCTCTACAGAAATGTGTACCAAGACACGAAATCTGGCAAGCTATAACAAATTGGTTCCTCCGAATCAGATATGCTAAGAAGAATCTGCGCGATATTACCGAACTCATACAACTCATATGGACTTGATTTTACAGCTGTGCTTAGGTGCGCACGCGCGCAATCCCGAACAGGTACACGAATTTGTCAAGGTAACGAGTTCAAAAACCATGTACTTACGAATGATTCCCATCTGCTCGTACTATAAAGGTATCCTTCCTATGAACATACATATCAAATCGTCACAGATCGTATCCATACGCGATGAGGAACGACAGTGCATACCTGAATTTTTATAGTTGCCATTTTGTTCAGCATATTTGCTAAAGAAATCTTTCGCAGTGACTCCATTGACAGTTACGATGGTCTGCGTATGTGTGATTTGTCAACTTGATCAATACAGCATTGAAGCAACCTGGGTATACTATCGCCTCACTTGGTACGCCAACGTAGAAAGTGATGCCTAATTATAGAGAATCATAATTTGCGCAGAAAAAGCAAATCTGAGGAACACATAATACATCTTACAACTCATTGTACCTCTTCTAGTAAGGTCTCTGGCACAACTTCGTATCCAGGCCAGCCGCACTCCCGGGATTTGTTGTTGTAGAGTTCTGAATCGGCGTCCTCTACAAAATAAATCTCCTGCTCTCCGGTTTCATTGCCCATTCTTGACATAAGCATGAACGGGTAAAAGGTATGGAATGGGAAAACATTCTCGAGAGCTTCCATTTGAGTGTGGGCGTCCTGGAACTTCTTCATCATTTGAGTGATCTGTGATTATCAAAACATAACTGATACTGAGCGGTATATATTCGAATATCTAGACAACATTCTTCGTATTTCCAAATTTGTTACACAATCCTACAAAGAACTTCAAATGCAACCCCTTCATGCACCACTTTGCTTTCTCTGATGAACAACAAGTCGAATTTAAAAAACCCTCGGAAACAACTACAGCATGTAAGAGATAGCGCTTCGATATCTTCATTATCGTGCGGCAATAGCACAAATTTTCTTACCTGTGCTGTATAGTCATATAGATTTGTGTTAATTGTGTCATTGAGGATTTCGGATAGCGTTTGTCTCCAAGGCACCGAATAGTTGTACTGGGACCAGCTGAATGGAGCTTCTTGGTACAAGTCGTTGAGCGCAGCCCCAGGGGTGTCTGTGGTGTTCTCTTGTAGATCTGCAAAACTAGAAGGTATCGAGGACCATAGCATACAGATCACTGAGATCACCTGCACTTGACTATACATAATAAATACAAAACGAAAAAATAGCTGCACGTGCCCCGAATTTGCGTTGGATACCTAATTAACCTAGCTGTCACTGACATATAGCGTAACTATGGGCTCTGTCTAAACATTCTTGCAAGTAGTCAGGTGGGTGTGCAGCATAGTAACCGCGATGAACCTTTCCTGAATTCATTTACTTCTCTCAATTCTCTCAACTTACCTGTAAACCCCGTCCAATAGTCGGTGCAGGTAGCCAATGTTGTTGTCTTTCTGTTTCTGCATATCCGTGGCGGTCAGATTAAGCGCATCCAGACACTGTATGGTTCGTTCGATGGGCATAGTCACCCTGGCTTCAAAGACACAGGGATCTGGGTCAGCAGGGAAGGGACCGCAGTTCAATTCCTCCTGCGCGAGCGTGCCAGCTGCTGCGACTATCGCACTGAAGCATAGTAGCGTATTGGAGTGCTTCATGGTGGGCAATAATCGGGCTTGTATCTCCTGATATGAGATAATTGAAATCCTCTACGACGATTTAGTGAAAACTTTATGAAGCATAATATCATTATATATCTTTTATTTGTATACATATCAATTTTATACATTTAAACTGCTCCGAGTCAAAGCGCTTATTTTCATGCTCTGAAGGTAGTCATTCTCTAGAGTCTCTCTCCCTAGAGTAGAATTTTAGTATTTAGTAGAGAGTCAGCCGTCACAGGTAAATAAATAAGAGTACAAGCGTGAGCATAAAAAGTTCTATGCATACATCTATAATTACCATATAGGGTATGTCTGTTTGCAGTTTTGAGTTTAGCCCTGGCGGTCAGTGGCGGGTCCGTGGGGGACATGAGTGGTGATTGGTGAACTGGTGATGGCCTCAGCCCCCTGAGGCCTGAGGCCTGATGGCCGGGGGAGGGGGG